AACCCCTCAGAGGCTCTGGTCTGGGGCATCCAGGTGCCCTCCTCACCCAGGTGAGGGAAGCCCATGGACAGGTGAACACCACACAGCTTTGGCAGTGGTCGTCACTCCTGGGTCTTTATCCTGTCATTCCAGTACCCATGTGCTTTTACCGAAGCCATAGAAATGGTCCCCCTGCATCCAGATTGGAAAGGAAGAAGCAAAAGTGTTTCTATTTGACATACTCTAGTAGATAAAAAAAATCCTAAGGAATCAATTTTTTAAAGGACTACTAGAACAAAGAAATGAGTTCCACAGGGCTGCAGATATTAGATCAACATAAAAAGTCAATTGTATTTCTAAACACTTGCAATGGACAACCCAGAAGTTAAATTAAGAAAACAATTCCACTCAAAATAGCCTCAAAAAGAATAAAGTACTTAAGAATAAATTTAATTCGGTAAGTACTTCATTTGATAAATACTGAAGAATAAGTAAATTTGATACAAAACTTACACTCTAAAAACTACAAAACATTGTTTTTAAAAACTAAAGAAGGTCTAAATAACTGGGAAAGCAATCCATGTTCGTGGATTGGGATACTTAACATTAAAATGGTAACACTCCCTACACTGAGCTACAGAATCAACACATCCCTACCAGAATCCCAGCTGGTTTCCTTGTAGAAATTGACCAGTTGATTCTAAAAGTCATATGGAATGGCAAGGGATTCAGAATTGCCAAAATAATCCTGAAAAAGAACAAAGCTGGGAGACTCACAAGCCCTTATTTCAAACTAACTATAAAGCTACAGTAATCAAGACTGTGGTACCAGCACAAGCAAAGACATATAGATTAAAAGAATATAATTAAAAGTCCACAAATAAACCCACATATCTATGGCCGGTTAATTTTCAATGAGGGTGCAAAGACCATTCAATGAGAAAAGAACAGTCTTTTTGGCAAATGGTGCTTGGACAACTGGATGTCCACAAATGCATGAACATGGGTCCCTACCTCACACCATGAAGAAAGTTAACTCAAGGTGGATCACAGAACCAGATGGAAGAGTTGAAACTATAATAACCCTACTTCATACCATACACAAAAGTTAACTCAAAGTGGATCACAGACCCAGATGGAAGAGTCAAAACTATAAAACTCTTCTAGAAAACTCTACGGGTAAATCTTCATGTCCTTAGATTTGCAAAAGATTCTTAGATATGACACCAAAAGCATGGACAACAAAAGAAAAAACAAATTAGAGTTCATCAAAATTAAAAACTTTTGTGCCTCAAAGGACACCATTAAGAAAGTAAAAAGGTAATGTACAGAATTTGAAGAAATATTTGCAAATCACATATCTGAGAAGGGACTTGTTTCTAGAATACATAACTCTGACGACTCAACAGGAAAAGGCAGCCCAATATAAAAATGCGCAAAGGAAATGAAGATTTTTCCAAGAACATATGCAAATGGCCATAGGCACATGAAGAGATACTCAACTTCACCAATCATCAGGGAAATGCAATCAAAACCATGATGAGATACCACTTAACACACATTAGATGGCTAGAATCAAAAACAGTCACAGAGTGACAAGTGCTGGTGAAGGAGTAGAGGAACTGGAGCCCTCATGCCTGTCTGTGGGAATGTAACATAGGGCAGCCACTTTGGAAAACAGTGTGGCAATTCCTCAAACGATTAAACAGCATTACTGTATGACCCAGCAGTTCCACTCCTAGGTACATGCCCAAAGAAATGAAAATGCATTTCACACAGAAACTTATGTACAAATGTTCACAGCAGCATTATTCACAAGCGCTAAAGGGTGGAAACAGCTGTAATGTCCATCAACTGGTGAATGGGTAAGTGTGGCACATCTGTACAGTGGATTATTATTATTATTATCATTGTTATTGTTATTATTTGAGACAGAGTCTTGCTCTGTCACCCAGGCTGGAGTGCAATGGCACAATCTCGGCTCACCACAACCCCTGCCCCCCGAGTTCAAGTGATTCTCCTGCCTCAGCCTCTTGAGTAGCTGGGATTACAGGTGCGCACCACTGCGCCCGACTAATTTTGTATTTTTAGTAGAGATGAGGTTTCACCATGTTGGTCAGGCTGGTCTTGAACTCCTGAACTCGTGATCCACCCACCTTGGCCTCCCAAAGTGCTGGGATTACAGGCATGAGCCACCGTGTCTGGCCCATATAGTGGATTATTATTCAGCCATAGAAAGCAAGGAAATTCGGAGGAAGCTTAAAGACACAATGCGCAGTGCCAGACACCAGACACAGAGACCACATATTACTCATTACTCCCTTCACATGCAAGCCCAGAGTAGGAATCTACAGAGATAGGAGTTGATTCCTGGTTGCTTAGGCTGGGTAGGCAGGTGCTAACAGAAAGGTGTGGGTTTCTTGCTGAGGTGATTCATGTTTTAACACTGGCTGTGCTGATGGTTCACGTATCTGCGAATACCTAAAAACCATTGAATTGTGTGCTTTCAATGGGTGAGTTATATGGAACGTGGACTATATCTCATTAAAGCCATTTTTCTAAAAGGAAAGAAAAACAGACCCACACTGCCCACCCACCCTTGCATCGCCAAAGCCCAGCTTCATACCCAGCTTCTGCCTCTCTGGGGAAATCTTATGGAAAAACCTTCAGGAGGCCTTCCATCCCCAGGTCCACTCAACTCCCTGCAGGCACCAAGCAGCCCCAGACTCTGAAGAGATGCTGTCTAGAGACCATCATGGGGGCATACTGGCTCCCAAAGGTGGCCTCTGTTTCCAACGCCGTTCTGCAGACTGGTGTGTGTGAGGCCTTTGCTCACCCTGGTCAGCTGTGACACCCACAGCCGGGAGCCAACAACAGGGGGTGGGTGGGAGAGGAGATGCCGGGGCTCGCTCTCCATCTCTTTGCAACTGCTAGCGAAGAACGGCAGCTCACCCTGCAGTGCACACTGTCTCCAATATACAGAACAGAATGCTTTGCTCTACCAGAATCCCAGCGTCTTTGCAGCCACCCCCCAACCCTCCAGGGACCTCCCACCCTCACACGATGAGGCTCCATCTGCCCAAGGGTCAGTTTCCTGGGCAGCAGTGGGAGTTTGCTGGGTCCCATATGGGGTGATATGGCTTGGCTGTGTCTTCACCCAAATCTCACCTTGAATCCTCGTGTGTTGTGGGAGGGACCTGGTGGGAGGTAATTGAATCACGGGGGCAGGTCTTTCCCATGCTGTTCTCATGATAGTAAGTCTCACAAGATCTGATGGTTATTATAAGGGGGAGTTTCCCTGCACAAGCTCTCTCTTTGCCTGCTGCCATCCACGTAAGACGTGACTTGCTCCTCGTTGTCTTCTGCCGTGATTGTGAGGCTTCCCCAGCCACGTGGAACTGTACGTCCAATTAAACCTCTTCCTTTTGTAAATTACTCAGTCTTGGGCATGTCTTTATCAGCAGCGTGAAAACAGACTAATACACAGGGTTCCGAGGGCACACACCACAGCCAGCCATCGCACCCTCCCTCTCGGCCTGGGAACTGGGAACAGGCAGGGGCTGGGGACTGACACAGGTCATTTGCACACTGGATGATACAATAAGATGACAGCCAGCACAGGGAAGAGATGAGAGCTCCAGGCTGGTCTGAGGCAACAACTGGGAGATGAGGCAGAAGTGGCCCAAACACCTCCCCTCTAAACAATGCTCTTAAAATTCAATCCTGGCTGCCACCGTGAACTGTCAACACTAACCAGTTTCTGTTTATAAAGTTACAGTCCCCAAAGCAGTGCGCAGGGGTTCGAGGGCACACACTGGCTGGGCCAGCGGCCTGACTCCTCCCTCTCGGCCTGGGAACTGGGAACAGGCAGGGGCTGGGGACTGACACAGGTCATTTGCACACTGGATGATACAATAAGATGACAGCCAGCACAGGGAAGAGGATGAGAGCTCCAGCCTGTCTGAGGCAACTGAGAGATGAGGCAGAAGTGGCCCAAACACTCCCCTCTAAACAATGCGGTTTTAAAATTCAATCCTGGCCACACCGGCGGAATCGTCAACACTAACCAGTTTCTGCTTAGTTACAGTCCCTTTTCAGCAGCGACAACAAAACGGACTCCAGCTGAACCTTGATCGCCTGCGTCTTAATGCAGCCACTAACATCAATGGACTGGCAGCCGTTTCAGATTTCACCTTCATTGTTGTCAGAACCAGGGGCTCCCTCCTGGTTTTATGTCTTTTTTTTTTTTTTTTTTTTTGAGATGGAGTCTCGCTCTGCCGCCCAGGCTGGAGTGCAGTGGCCGGATCTCAGCTCACTGCAAGCTCCGCCTCCCGGCTTTACGCCATTCTCCTGCCTCAGCCTCCCGAGTAGCTGGGACTACAGGCACCCGCCACGTCACCCGGCTAGTTTTTTTTTTGTATTTTTTTAGTAGAGACGGGGTTTCATCGTGTTAGCCAGGATGGTCTCGATCTCCTGACCTCGTGATCCGCCCGTCTCGGCCTCCCAAAGTGCTGGGATTACAGGCTTGAGCCACCGCACCCGGCCGGTTTTATGTCTTTACCGCTCCTCTTAGTCTGGGCAAGATAAACATTAGCCCAACTCAGATGAAAAACAGGACTCTAGAGCCATTGGTTCAAAAGGAAGAGAGGTTTGTGCACATGTTTTTGCCTGAATTTTACACACTAGGACTTAACTTAATTTGCCACCCCCATCCCAAACTTCATGCCCTCCCTGAGCTTCCCAGCCCTCGCCGTTGGTGGCTGCACACCACGTGAGGCTGATGCACCAGCAACCCAGGACCATGCTCGTTTAGACTAAGGTGTGAATGGTACCCGCTGAACCCTGCACCCAGGACTGTGCAGGCCACAGTCCGGGAACCTCAGAGCTGGTCCCGTAGACACCAATGTGTTGGGGAGGCGGGGCTAACTCTTCTCAGAGCCCCAGCGCAGCTGTACCGTCCCCGATGAAGGGCTCATGATCCCCACCTCCCCACGTTAGAAAGAAGCAATGTACTTTCTCACCATTTGCCTTCTATTCTCCACCAAGTTGATGCCAATAATTCCTAAGAAAGATCCAAAGCCGAGCTAAAACCAAAGGAAGAACGAGAGAGAAACATTCATTAGCATTCCTGGAAGCTTAACACTGACATTTAACTGCAAACAATCCCACCCTCAAAGGCATTTTATCCAGGGACGAAGGCCAGACATCCCCACCTCAAGAACCTCAACCACTGAGCATCAGGTGCGTCTGCTGGCGTTGGGCGGGCGTCTCTGCAACGTCACCCATCCTGTCTTCTCTACTCAAGGGTTTTTAATGATGTGTCCGTTTGGCTTGTGACTGTGCGGTAAAAGAGGATCCCACTCGTCCCCCAGAGACAACATCTTCTCGGAGACCCAAGGCCACCAAGCACCAACATCTGCCCCGTCTTCTCCGGGCCTGAGATGCCCCTGAGCATGGCTCCTGAGTAAGGCATTAGGGAACTACAGCTGTGTTTCAAAAGAAGGGTTGCCAGGCACCAGGGCCACCTGTGACACCTGCTCAGATGGCCTACCTGTGGCTGCTGCTTCGGGAGAGTGAGCAGGGCAGGCCGTCAGCAGGGAGGTGCCTGGTGTGGGGAAAGGGCTCTGGAGCGGCCCCGGGCTGCAGCACAGGCCACCAGGGGTCCGGCGGAGCCCCTTGCTCCACAGGAAGCCCCAGCTCTGGGCAGAAAATGAGGCCGGGATGTCGGGAAATAGATACGGGGCTGTGCTGTCTTAGAATAGAGGCCAGCGGCCGGGCACCCGCACCATCCACCCAGGGCCCGTCCTGGCAGGTGATGCCCACTTGGCAGAGGAATTTTTAAAATCAGTGCGAAGAATATGCGCTTCAGCAACACCCACCGAAAATCCAGTTCAGAGCCGCCGGCTAAAGTGCCTCCCGCAGACAACTCGGAGCTGCCAACGATCATGCCGAGGCCTGAGACGGCCCCTACTTGCGTGCAGGTGAGCCGGGCCGGTTACCCTTCCCAGTGAGCCTCTGTTGGAAGGGGCGGCCCGCCCGGCACAGCCTTGGAGTTCCTGGGGCCGTGGTGTGAAGTTTAATGCACTGGAAACCGGACTCCTTTATGTAAGTAGTTTTGCCTTTTCTGTAATTGTGTCTGTGCGTCTGTGGTGATAGACATGTACACATGTGGCTTTCACCAATGGTTTGAGAACCCTCCAGGGATAACAGGAACATGTCTTCATGTGCTGAGCTTCAAAATACCACAGTTCAACTCCACAGTTCAAAAACATCAAAATTTCACTTCAATATACGTGTATTAATGTTTCACTACATTTTATTTTTGGGGGATTTGAAAAAAAAACACACCTTTCTTCAGAATGTTGAGATGTTTTCATGTTCTGGCCGCTGCTTCTGAGATCACCTTTTTCTTTGAAGCCGCTACACTGGCACGAGTCTCCACAGAAGTGACTCTTAGCCACGTTTCCTTGAGGCTGATTTGATTTGTCGTCTCCCTAGTTGGCTCTCAGAACTGTCTGGGCTAAAGTCATTTCAATCTGGTCAGCACGGCGTTAATTCACCGCCCAGCAAGTAGATTTTTTATAGAGCACAGCTCGAGCATTAGCCATTGATGTTTTTGATTACGGTATTTTGAGGGAGCCCTTAAATAAGTTGGAGAACAAACAAAAAAAACAGCTACTCAAGGTTGATCTTGATATTCTGCAAATCACTTGGGAGGTCCCTCCTCACAGCCACTTGCCCTCTGGGCTCCCCTCTCTGCCCAGGAAGCAGAAAAGCCCCTCGCATGAGACCTGGGTCCCCACATCATTGGCCTCTTGCAATTTTACTGATAAAGCTTTTTCTGCACAGATACTATTTGTATATGTTTATTTATAAACTATACACAGGTAGATAGTGTAGACGTATAAGGCACACCTTAAGATTAAACAAAGGAAAATATAAAGGTGAAATAATCAATATTTGTAAAATATTTCTAAATACTGAGTGCCAAAAATCTTTCATCTTTGCTGACTGTCATCAATATTATTACCAATCTTGGTAGTACTTCAGGTGAGAGTAACGAGATTGAAGAAGCCGCATTTTAAAATCTTGCTTTAGCACTTCATGACATAGCAACCGGGCTCTGGGCACGTGAAGGGCATTGCAGCAGATCCAAGCCACTCCAACAGAGGTTCACTGTGCAGAACGCAGGCACTTAGGACAAATTTTTTTGCTAACGACAGAGGATGTAATTTCATAGTTCAAAGAACCTTCATACTTTTGAAGCCAGGTGACCAATTCTTGCCAATTAGGTTACCATCAATTTACCTCGCCGCCTTACTGTCCAAAATCTGGCCTGCGAGGTGGATGAGGTCAGAACCACCACCTTCTAGCTGTTCCCACGTGATGGCGTCACTGATACGATCTGTGATCCATCGCTTCTCGGCAGGAATCGTTTAAAGTTACTTTCCCCTTCCACGGTTCCACGGGCTATGGTGGTCGACCTGGTCCCTCAGGGTAAAATCCTTCTGGGATGCTGGCGGAGGCTCTGTCCGGCCTTTTCGGATATCCTCAGCTCCTGGCCCCTCCTCCACCTTGGACATTTCCCGTCGCCGGGCTCTGGCCCCCATCCCACGCCCTGGTCACCCTGTGACCGCATCAGGCCAACCCGGACAATGGAGGGCACCTGGCCCTATTTTACGGTCAGCTTGGACCTCAACCCGAATCCCCCTCTGCCTTGGACCTGCCACCGTCCCAGGTCCTGGGGATCGGGATGTGGGGGCCGTAACCCTGCCGACCACAAGCACCGATCGAAGCCTCCCCACCTTCAGCCCCAGCCCTGTGAGCTGGCATGGGCTCCACCCTGAGACAGCCACACACCACCCTGCCCTCCCCGGCCCCGGCCGCCCGCTCAGCGCACTCACAATGATCCCTGGGTAGTAGCCCCCCACGGTCACGTTCTCCGTCCTGGTGGTGGCAGCCAGCCCGACGGTCACGATGAGGACAGACACCAGCAGCAGAGACCCCACAAACCACAGCGACGTCTTCTTCCTCCTCGAAAGCCCTTCTGTGGGGAGGAAGGCGAGGACCCGTCAGTGAGGGCTCAGGCTCGGGCGGGTGTCAGCCCAGCAGGCTTTGGGCCATGCTCTGTTGCCCGGGGGTCCTGGGATGCGCTATCCCCACCTGCCTCCCGGCCCACCTTAGGGACCACCCCCAACTTCCATTAGATAACAGAGTGAAATCTCTGGATCTTAAGCCACTATACTGGAATTTGCGGCCAGAACTCGAGAAAGCAAACTCAAAAGGACTCCTTCCCACTGGCTGCCTCTTCCTCCATCTGACTTTCTCCCCTTGGTGTCCCCAGGAGGACGGGAGCATCTTTTGTTTACTGTTTTATCATCACCACTGGCTCACGGACACACCCTCTCTACCCGCCTATCACAGCCGCACTCAGAGGGGGAGGGGGCTGCCGCCAGGGGAGGGGCAGGGAGAGAGGAACGCACCCAGCAGCCGTCCAGCTGGGCCATCTGTTTTGCTTTGTTTTATTTTTTGAAAACTAAATCATCTTGATCCCTGTGTGACTCCAAACAAAACAGGGGATCTTTTAAAACCATGGTAAAGTCTTCCTACTCCAAAATTTTGAAAATCAACATTTGTGTGTGTGCACATGTGTGAGTGCATGTGTGCAGGGAAAGCAGACAGCACACTGGAGAGCCGCCGGCAGCGAGGACGGCCACGCAGACATTGTCCACACCCTAGAAGGTCCACGTCCGAAGATTTACACTTCTGCAATCCCATCAGCAGAGCTCAATGGCAAGGCAAGGTTATCGCGCCCAAGGAAGGGACTGTTACGTCCTCAGAAATGAGTTTCGCAAAACTGTAAATCAATGTGCAGATGCAGAATCGCTCTGCTGATCTGAGAGAGCCGTTTTTATCCAGCTGACCCAGCAAGGGCGAGGCCTGGGGCACAGCCTTCCTTCCAGGCCCTCTCGGACTCAGCACAGCCCCTGGCACAGTCACCCTGCCTGCCCCTTGACCCTTGCAAAGTTACACCTGTCCCAAGAATCTCATCCCAAATCGCTTTTTATCTTCCACCTTGGAGGGGACCAGATCACTCCATTCGCTAACGTAATAAACCACTGGCTCCCACCAGCCAGCCAGGCTGCCCCCATCTCGGACCCACTGCACCGAGGTAGCCAGTGGCACTGTCCTTGGTGTTACCCTCCAAGCCGCAGGCCAGCATTCTCAGGCTCTCCCTGGTCGCCCCATCTCCTGCCTCCTTAGAGGCAGGCTTGTTCCAGCATCCACGGGGCCTGTGCACCTGCAGTCTCCCAGCCAGACACTCCCAGCACTCTTAAATGTTGCTGCACAGACACACTGAGCACAGTAGCTCCACTCACCCCTGTGCTCTCCACAGTCACCCCTCTCCTCTGCCCCTGCAGAGTGTCCCCGGGTGTGAGAAGCAGAGGGGACGCCAGACAGAGGCACACGCTGCAGGCGTTGGAAAAGGCCAAGTTCCGTGGAGAAAACTGAGGCAGGGCTGGGGACAGGGCGCTCTGGACGCATCGCCCACAGGCAGTGGGTGGAGGGCAGAGCCTTCCCTGGGGGGCCTGGTGGTGGCACAGCGCACCCCTCAGCCCAGCACCACCAGTGTGGAGTGACGCCCTCCTTCTGAAAGCCACTCTACTGAGACACTAGAGGCTGCAGCCCGGTGCAGTCCAGGGAGCAATTCCCACACCCAGCCTCAGGAACACGTGCGGTGTGGGGTCCCCGCAGCCAGGGCCATGCCTGCGCCCCCCAGGTCCCCAAGGCGGCTTCTGCAGGGGTCATGCTGAATAAGCCTACAGGGGTGACAAGCAGGTGGGCGTAGGGTTGGGCACAGCTCCAGGAGCCCCAAGGCCACGCTGGTGGCCCAGGACCTGGTGCCTACACTTCCGTCATCCAGTGTCTGTTACAGTGATGCTCCCCTGGTCCCACCCCATGCCCCTGTGAGCAATGGTTCTGAATCATCTCATTCAATTACACAATGGTAATATTTTGACTCCGGATATAATCGAAATAACAAAAAGAAGACTCCCAACCTTAAATACATTTTATAAATACATGACACAGCATAAAAATGAGACAAAAAAATAAACTCAAGAAAAGAAGGTGGATATCTTTATAATTACCATGAGAGATAAGCATTTTAAGGTCAGATTTCATCAGAAAGGGGCTTTCACTTAGGAGAAAGATAACTAAAATTACCTGAATAATTTCCTTGCTGTTCCCGTCCCGTTAGCGGAAATACTATTATGTGCACTGTGAAAATTAAAGTGCTCCTAAGTGCCCCAACTATTAACTAAAGTATCTGCCCACAGGTTTCTATTGCAGAGGCAGCTTACAGGGACCGGACCCAAACCATTCTGGGTCTGTCCAGACCCACTGTGTGGTCTTGGGTGGCCGTTTAATCTCTCTGAGCTCGGGAGAAGAGAGCCCTGTGAGAGCCGAGAGCTCTGTCTCTCGTTTGTTGCTGGTCCCCGGGGCTCAGATGAGCACATAGACACATCCTCCTGGTACGGAATGAATGAAGGCCCTTCAGTCTCCTGATCTGTAGGATGGAGGAAATCATGAGAAGCACCTGCTTACCCACCTCTTGAGATTGTGATAAGCATCCAGAGAGACATGACACATGGGCTCTCATGTATATGTTTTCATAAATGCAATGCATATGCTAATCATCCGAGTAGTGTTAACTTTAAGATGGCATAGCAGTTATTCTTAACCAGCATTTCTCCCACTGGAGCTGCAAGGAGGAGTTCTGAGATGTGAAGCCAAATGGGCCAACAGCTACCTCTCCGCTATTGTGTGCGCTGATTTTTCTAACTCTAGTCTTCCCCAGGTGCAGCCCATCTAGGATATCCCAGAATATCACCTTGTCACTCCCCACCAGCCCCCAGTTCTCCCACCCGACCTGCTCTCCCCTTCCTGGCTCCCACCCCAGCCTTAGCTGGAGGAGCTGAACCACAGGAGCCTGTGCCCACGCCTGGTTCTGCCTGGAAGACACGCGAGGCTGGAGGTCAGGCTCTCCCTGCCCGTCAGACCCACTTCCTCCACTCCACAGAGCCAGGAAGGGAAATGTCACAAAGCATGGGAGGTGGCACTGCTTGGAAGGGTTCCAAGATCTGGCCTTCCTGCCAGCAGGGCCTGGAACGCCCAAAAAGAAGAGTGAGTTCCATTTAATCATGTGGGGACACCAGTCATGGTGTCCAAGTAATAATCCCAGGTAAAACTGTAATCACTCAGCCATCAATTTCTCTTTTGTCCTGATTTTACACATGCCCAGGGTAGTGAACAAAGAAGGGCAAAGCAGAAAAAACCATAACCCACCCCCAGATACCCCAAAGCAGAAAGGCCATAACCCACCCCCAGATACCCCAAAGCAGAAAGGCCATAACCCACCCCCAGACACACCAATGCTTCATACATTTTAGTGAAAGACCAGCTCCAAACAAAAAGACCCACAACCCTTACCCCAGATACAATGTTTCATATACTAAAAAGACCAGCTCCAAGTATCACGTTTTCAGGTTTCAAGTTCTTTGTCAGAAGAAAATCTAAGTCAAATGCTATTTTTAAACCTTCAAGGCATTCTAATATAATAACGATAAAACTAGTTAATAAATAATAATAAAGTTATCATTAGGATACACTAATAATCGAATCCACATTAATACGTTTGACCACAGAGCATTTTGCTTTAGAGAGTGGAAGGAATATAGTGGTTTCTTTCAGAAAGAAGCCAAATTCTTTGATTATTTTAAATAACAGTAACTCGTCCGGTTTTTAGAAACTTCCCAAAGATGCCCCAGCAAAAGGGTTGTGAGGTTAATCCCCAGCAGTTTGTGTAGGATTATTTCTGAGGCAGCGGCACAGCCCCCGAGACTCCACGCCATCCCCCCCTGCAGCCGTCAGAGCTTCCCCTCCTAGGGACTCTGTGTCTCTGTCGTTTGGAAATCCGCGCAGCCTCCCCCGTCAGGAAAACGCCCGGCATCGGCATCGTTCCAGTCCCGGCCACTTCCCAGCGCAGCCCCCAGCCCGGCCTGCGAACTTGCGGACGCGCAACAGGTTTCCTGTGTTCCCAGCCCGCGCCGGGCTCCACGGCTGCCGCGGGCGGGATCTGGGGAGTGGAAGGACCGGAGGTTCCGTGAACGCACCGGGGAGAGGCACGAGAGGGGGCGCCTGAAACCAGGAACGCGGTCCGGTTCCGCGAGCGCCTCTGCACGTTCCCAGGCTCGTGGAAAGGAAGCGTCCCCGGAAAACGGTGCAGGTTGGAACGCACGGGAGGGGTGGGGAAGGAGCGCACTTTGGGGCGCCTGTTCTTCATCAGGAAACGGAACAGGGAGAGGCGAAGAGGAACGGACAGAGTCAGAGAAAGGCAAAGGCGGAGGAGGCAGAGGGAGGGAGAACGAGGGACTGACGAATGCACGACGCCCTACCCCGTGCGCAGTGCAAAGTGTTCCAAAGACAGAGCTCCAAGGAGGCGGAGGGCCCAGGCCCCGGGCGCGTCTCTGCACAGGTTCCGCCCGGGCCGACCTGCGCTCCCAGCCCCGGGGTCCCCACGCTCCCCCGCAGGAGCCGAGAGACGCCCCAGCCCGCGCTCACCTGCGGCGTCCAGCAGGCCCGGGGGCCCGGGCACCGACGGCTGCATCCCGAGGCCCCACCCGGCTCTCCCGGGGCCACAGCCCGGTCCTGCCGCCCAGAGCCGCCCTCGCGGCGCCGCCCCTTCCCGCCCCCTCCGCCTCCCCGCGCTCCGCCCGCCTCGCGCCCTTCCTCGCCCTCCTCTCCCTCTCGCCCGTTTCTTCTCCTCCCTCCCCCGCTGCCCCCGCTCCCCCCGCTCCCCCTTCTCCGCTCCACCGCCTCCAGCCGCCGCCTGGTTTCTGGACATCAGGACGCCGCGGCCGGGAGTGGAACCAGACCCCAGATGGAAGGTGCCTGGAGAGCACCCCGCGGACTCGGGCGGGAGCCCGGCCTGGGACGGTGACCCCGGGCCTCCCGCCGCTGGCGCCACGCTCAGCCCTTGGCAGTGCCTCCGGGTGGGTCACCACGGGTTCGCCTCCCCACTGGCCGGTGACGGGGCTCCTCGGGGCGCAGGGCCAGCCAGCCCTGGATCCCTGTGTTCAGAGGGTGGCACATACAACCCGGTCTGCGAGGAACCAGCAAACGAGGAACAAACGCATCGGGCACCTCATCAGCAGCCCCGAGGCAGGGCTGACCGGCCTCTCCAGGGCCTGCGTTTTTGTGTCCACAGCACTGAAGTTGTTCTGAGTAAAATCTGCTGCTGGAAAGAAGGGCAAGGAAACACGGGGCCGGAAAGGGTTGCTCGTACGGCAGCAGGAAAAAAATAAAGATCCTTCTAAATGTATCTTTAACATCTTTATGTCAAGGACATCAGCGGTCCCTTCACAAAAGAAGATGCTTTAACGACCAATAAACTCAGCCCCTGGAATTAGGGGAACGCTGTGGGAGCAAGAGGATGCGTTTCACCCTCATCCTATCAGAAAACCCCAAGGATCAAACAACTTAAAGAGTGTTAATGAAAACGTGGGATCTGCTTTCGCTGCTGGGATCACGCGTGGTGCCGCCACTTTGAAAGCAACCTTTAGGGAAACTGGAGCCGTAGAGGACAAGCCAGCAATGTTTTCTTTCTAGATATGCCCAGGAACACAAACACAGATCTGCTCCTTAGAACCGGGAGCCGTGGTTCTCAGCCCTAGCTGTCGTTAAAGTCATCTAGGAATGTCTTTAAAAGAAAACAAATTACTGCGGCCCTGAACCCAGACCAGATCAACTGACCCAGAATTTCCGAGAACAAACTAATAGCTAAGAACTCCCTAGTCATTCTAATTGGCCATCCACTGTGAGAGAGAAACTGCCGCAGGAAGTATGTGTGTACAAGATGCGTACGGAATATTCCTCACAACGCTGTGTATCCAAAGCACCTGACACACCCTGAATATCCAACACGGGGAGAAGGGATAAAGAAATGGGCACATACAGCGAAATACCATATGGCAGTTAAAATAAATGAGAACTACACGGATTAATGCGAATAAATGCCAAAAACAGAACGTGGAGCAAAAATACAAGTGCACAGTACAACACAGTGAGTACGGCAGCGAATATGGCAGCGAGTATGGCAGTGAGTATGGTACCATTTATATAAAGCTTTAAACCATGAAAATTAACACTATTCACCCATTGAGCCTCTCAAGACGTGCTAAACATCCGCAATATACCAGACACTGTTCCGGGTACTTGGGATGTATCAATGAGCAAGACAGACAAGGATCCTGGTGGGGAAGAGAGGCCATGAATAATAATACAATAAACAAGAAAAATGCACAGCATGTCAGAGGGCAACACATGCTATGGAATACACAAACACACATACACACATGCATACATACACACATGCATACATACATGCACACATGCATACACGTGTGCACACATACATATGCATACATGCATGTATACACATACATGCACATACATTCACACATGCACACTTATACAAACACACACATGCATATGTACACACATATACACACATGCATGCATACACACATGTATACATACATGTGCATATGCACACGCATACACATGCACACTTATACATGCACACATACACACTTACACACATACATACATACACAGCCAGGTAATGCAGGCCACAGAAAAAGGAAAGAGTAAAGAAACAAAATAGAAAGTATAGTGTGGGAGTGGGAGTGAGCTGTGGTTTTTAAGTAGTGAAAAGAGAGCTTGTTGAGAGGTGCTGTTGAAGACCAAGCTTGAGGGCATGGAGGTGGTTGCTCAAACAGACATCTGGGGCAGAGGGTCTGGGAAAAAGGAACCTCTGTACAAAGCCCTGGGGTGGAGCCGTCCAGGCCTAGAGGGAGCAGCAAGGAGACCAGGGTGCCAGAGGTTTGTGGGGACCAGGTGGAGGACATCGGGGTGAGCTGCAGGGCCTCTGGCCTTTGCTCCAAGTGATGTGGGGGTTCCTGGAGGGTCCTACACATAGGATTACTGGAGAGTAGTTGTAGGGTAGCAGAATGGAAGCTGAGAAACTGGTTATAGGATATTATGAAACAGTAGGAGGTGATTACACGGACACCATGAGTCTCGTGTGTGCAAATATACGGACACCATGAGTCTTGTGTGCAGATACACGGACACCTTTAGAACTATGTCTAGGGCCTTAAACTCTATTTGTGAAAACTTCTTTCTTTAAAAAAGTCAAAAGACTTGGAAAAAAAGGGGAAGTGTTGAGATATCATTAAGGCTAGACGGTGTGGACAGAGTTGTTACATTGTTCACTATACTTTTCTGGATGTTTAAAGTAGATGATTACTTTTTTTTTTTTTTTTGAGACGGAGTCTCGCTCTGTCGCCCAGGCTGGAGTGCAGTGGCCGGATCTCAGCTCACTGCAAGCTCCGCCTCCCAGGTTCACGCCATTCTCCCGCCTCAGCCTCCCGAGTAGCTGGGACTACAGGCGTCCGCCACATCGCCCGGCTAGTTTTTTGTATTTTTTAGTAGAGACGGGGTTTCATCGTGTTAGCCAGGATGGTCTCGATCTCCTGACCTCGTGATCCACCCGTCTAGGCCTCCCAAAGTGCTGGGATTACAGGCTTGAGCCACCGCACCCGGCCGATGATTACTTTTTTGTAACTTTTTACTTTTGTGTATTTTCAAACCTAAAGGTGGGTTGCAGGGATAGAGCAAGGAGCTCCTGTGCAGCCTCTACTCGGGTGCACCTTTGTTGCAGCCTCTGCCCAGGTGTGCCTTTGTTGCAGTCTGTCACTTTTTTGTTTTTTGAGGCATGCTCTGGCTCTGTGGCCCAGGCTGGAGTGCAGTGGCGTGATCGTAGCTCACTGCGGACTCCACCTCCCAGGCTCAAGTGATCCTCCCACCTCAGCCTCCCAAGTAGCTGGGACCACAGGCGTGTGCCGCAACACCCAGCTAAGGTTTATACTTTTTGCAGAGATGGGGTTTCCTCATGTTGCCCAGGCTGGTGTCAAACCCCTGGGCTCAAGTGATCCGCCTGTCTTGGCCTCCCGAAATGCTAGCATTACAGGCGAAAGCCACCATGCTCGGCCACAGTCTGTTACATTTTAAAAATTAAATGGACAAAAGGAAAAGAAAAGGAGGAAAGAGGGCGTCTGCTCGGCTCTGCAGGCCGAGTCCCACCCTGAGCCGCTGGGATGCCCAGCCTCTTCCACCCCTGAGAGCAGCCCAGGGATTTCCATGCTTGTCTCATTCCACCAGGCTCAGGGAGTGCCTTTGTAAAGAGGAGAAAAAGCGCCTGCCAGGCGTGAGGAATGTGCAGGGGCAGATTGGAGCACAGCCGAGTCAGCACTTCTTCGGGGGCTCCCTGAGCAGGCCCCACCTGCCTCCTCTCCCCAGGCCTGCACCTCGGAAGTGGCTGGAACCCACAGTCAGCACCTGTCCTTCCTGCCAGCGCCACCTTCCTCCTCTGCTCGCTCAGAGATACCGGGGGCCCCCATGACTGGTTCATTCTCCCCTCACCCCTAACTCTCCGCAGTCCTCAGATCTCTAACCCATTCCTGCAACATCCAGTGAGGTAGGAAAGCAACAGTGCTGGCTCCGAGGGCCAGGGTCAGGGCCAGGGGCTGGCTCCCACATTGTCCTGTCCTGAGCACTGTCCAGGCCCAGAGCAGGGCTGGGCTTGGTGCTGGGCTATGGAAGGACAGGAGCGATCACTGCCCTGGGGCCCTGATGGAGCTAAGAGGCTGGTGGAGAAGAGACAGAAAGACTCAGCCCTCCCAGGCGACACCACCGTGTTAAGCTCAGCGCTGAGAGGCAGCGGGAGATGTCACAGGGAGGGCTCCCGCGAGGAGCGACGCAGAGCTAAGAGCTGGGGCAGGGAGCCAGGCCACTCCGGCCCTTCCTGGAGGATCGGATGAATCTGTTATCTCTGAGCAAGCTCCAGGAAACAAGAGACAGGCCGGGTGCCAGCTTGATGGGGCAGTGGATGGGGTTGCCCGAGATACGCTGCGACCTGTGGGCGTTGGGAAGGTGTTCAGACGGGAGGAGTCCAGGAGACAGAAGTTGTAAGATTGCTAGTCTTTACAGTGGGACAGGTCCTTGGAGGTCGTTCTGGTTCCTACGACAGTGGGACAAATGAACCCATAATTCAGTGGCTTAAAAAACCACATTTATTTAGTTGAAGTTGAAATTTGGGCAAGGCTTGGAGTGGACACCCTGCGTCTGCTCCACTCACGGTTAGCTAGGGTGGCTCCCAGGACTGGCACGTGGCTGACTATGGCTGTGGCTGACTGTGGCTGTGCCTGTGACTTCTCCAGGTGACGTGGGCTTCCTCACAACATGGGGGCTGGGCTCCCAGGAACGTCAAACAGGAGAGAAACCCGGGTGGAGTCTGTGGCACCTTCCGCAACCCAGCCTCAGCTTCACGCTGTGTCAGCTCAGCAGCCCTGTGACGAAATTCAAAGGAAGAAGGAAGAGGCTCTCCCTGTGTGCGGGAAGTGGAAAGCTGATGTGGTCGTTTGGGGAAAATAGAATTTGCCACAGGGATCACTGTGTCAGGACAGGACCCTCACTACAGGTAGGCAGAAAGGTGAACAAAGCGATAACCAAAGATAACGAACCTTTTCCTCTTACTTCAGCAGATATTTAGCAGCTGTTTGGGCAGCGTGGAGTGGGAACTGCTGAAGTGTCCCTAGACCACGGGTAAAGAGGGGTGGCGTGGAGGAGGCAGCCGCACCAGGCAGGAAGATCGTCCTGGGAGCCGAGATGTGTGCATCGGAGGCACCCAGAGAGAATAGAAGCTGCCAGAAAAATGCAAGGAAACCCAGAAACTTGGAGAGCACAAACGAATCACAGTTTTTATTGTGTGAATTTTCACTAAATATCCTACAATGAATATTCATCATAAGAAAAACAGTCATTTTTAATGTCACGATTTCCTGGAAATATAGAAAGAAAGAAAAGCAGAGAAAAGGCACAACTCCCCCAAGCACAGCAGCAGAGTCTCGGTGGCGGGCGCTCCCCTGCCACACCCGGGGAGGCTCCTGCTGCAGGAGTTCACTTGGCTCAGTTATGGCAGCAGGTTCTGATGAGGCAGAGCTCAGAGCAGAAAGGCTAAGGATGCCTGTTCAGGGCCCCTACTGTGTGTGTGTCTGTCTGTGTGTGCACATGTGTATGTGTGGGTGTGTGTGCATGACTGTGTGTGCTTGACTACACGTGTGTGGGTAGGTGCACATGACTGTGTGAGTGCCTGTGTGTGTGTGGGGGGTGGATGCGCCTGATTGTGTGTGTGTACATGTGTGTGTGTGTCTCACGCCAGATTGATTCTGCTCAGGTGCTCTGCAAAATTTCTGCAATCTGATTTCTCCAAGTCTGAAAGGTCAAATGTGCACCATCAACAGCACTGAGAGCCTCTTAGAAAGACAAAGTCTCCCCAAACCAGATGCACTCCCAGCTTCCATGCCTGGAATTAGCATATTTCCTGTAACACCAGGCCGGGCAGAGCTAGGCAAAGTCAGCCAGGATCTGGAGTTGCCAGAAGGCAACGTCTGCCACTAACATCATCATCATGGCCAAGAACTGCCCTCTTCAGACCACGTAAAAAATACCCCAAATAAATTTCCTAGGAAGAAGTAAATAAGTTCATTGTATCTAAGTTTGGAGGTGACCAGTCCTAACTGGTAACAGAATTCCTGGCGATGTCTTACAAATCCTTTGCTTTCTAATTCTGTAAATTATTTGTGCTTTTCCCCGGAGATCTTCTGAGAATTTCCTTTAGAGAGCATTGGACTCAGAAGCCGTCGGCATCAGATCAGCCCAGGACACTTCAATGGTGAATTGTGTGATAAGCAACGTAAGTAAAGCTAAATATCAGCACAGAAAAGACCTTCACGAAACTGCTTCCTTAGCCACAGAGCCAGCACATCCGGAAAGCTACTCTCGGAGCTGAAAAACAATGGGTTTGCAAAGAATGAGAAAACACAGAAAAGGCGGGTCACGTAAAACCTTCCGTGTCTGTAAATAGCAGTTGCCCGCCGAAATGTCCAGATGCACCGGGGGTCTGTCCACGCCGAGATGTCCGGATGCACCGGGGGTCTGTCCATGCCGAGATGTCCAGATGCACTGGGGGTCTGTCCACACCAAGGGAGAGACCAGAGATGCACGGGGTCTGTCCACGCCAAGGGAGAGACCAGAGGGGTGACCAGCACAGCAGTAACATCTGGGGGCTCTGGCCCCCTGGACACTCCCCACTGAAGCCTGGGGCAGAGGAGAAACCTTGTCCCTGCACACAGAAGGCGCCTCCGCAAGGAGCCGTCTCTGCAGTGTGACTGTGGAAACCAGGCCTCAGGACCCTGGGACCCGCACCAGGAAGGCCAGACCTGGTTCTCCGAGGCTGCGGCATTCCTCCCACGTCTGCCTCCAGGGGCTGCACAAGGGAGCCGAGACACGGGAGTTACAGAGCACTTGGCTTCCCCACATGAGCCCTGTTTTGCACTTGGGCCCCCAGAGCTGTAAGGGGATAAGCGTGTGTGTGTTAGGCTTTGACGCACAACAGTACCTTGAGGGCCGCAACGTCTCAGACGCTCCACGCTGGGGGCGTGTGAAGATTTTCCAGGTGGCTGCGGTGGTGCAGTTGCTTAAGGGAGTCACTTCCAGATCCCTGACTGCCAGATGCAGTCTCTCACGAAGTAGATCTGGCTGAGTCCAGGGCCCTGGCTCCACTGTGTCCCCTTCCCACCCGACTGCCACCACGAGGGGCCAACTCTGTCCCCAGCCCAGACTCCCTGAGGTGCAACTCTCCCTGCGTGACCCTCAGGCCCCGAACACAGAAGCAGTCACAGAGCACGGGGCAAGGCCGGGCTCCGGGGCGGGGGGCAGAATCACAGATTCTGTGCCCGGCAGATTCCGTACCCAGGAGGTTCGCACAGGGCCCAGCCTTCTCCTCATCCATGCCCAGCGGTCAGGGCAGGAGGACCCAGAGGGAGGGGTCGTCACTGGGCACCTCCCGACGTCCTAACAGTTCTGACAGAAGCCAGACCGGTACTGCCAACTGCTTTGAAAGTAAGGACTGGCTCCCCAGCCAGGTTGCCTTTGTCTGTTTGGTGAACCCCGGCCAAGCCTTGCTCCAAGCGCCCAGTTCAAACTCGCCACAGCCTTGCGTCAGGGGCTCTCGCCACTGCCGTGTAAGATGAGGAAGCCAAGGCTCGGGGCAGTGGCGTGAGCAGTCCCAGGTCACACAGCAGGCAGTGGCAGAGCCGGGGCAGACCCAGGCACCGGCCAGGCTCACACACAAGGCTTGTGCTGCCATGAACCCCGGGCGGAAGGACCTCGCCGTGGATCCCGTGAGAGTGCTGCTGCGTCACCAGAAATGTGCCCTTTCCAACCAAACCAAAAGGATTTTAGATGCAAACCTGACATGGGCCCATTTCTGAAAATTCTTCGAGGGCTACATGAGCAAAACGTGCTGAGAGCTGGGACCTCGGGCCTTAGCCTCAGTAACGGAAATCGAAGCCATCCCTGAACAATCTCAGTACGATCCCCCTTCAAAGACGAGAAACTGAGGCTGCAGGAGGTTGACTGTTGTGGCGCATGACAGATCCCCAAAGCCCCTGTGCTTAGCTGCAGGGACACTGGCTAGAATCCGGCCACTGGAACCCCTCCCGCCCCAGGGCGCAAGCTGGTGGCCCACAGCGCCTCTCCTGCAAGCCGAGATCAGCTCAGCAGGGGCGGTGGCCTGGGATCAGGGTACTTTTTAAATTTAACTTACTTTAGCTCTTCCAAGAGGCAGTTAGGAGATGAGGAAATCTGTCTTCCGCTGGACTGAAGATAATTAGAGACTAGATAAATTGTTATTGACAGTAAGAAGATAAGTCGTTAGAACTGCTAGAAAACATGCCTGCTGTCCTTCCCAGTTCCAGATTCCTTCCTGCTTAGAGGACAATTTTGAAAGAACCCGAGGTTTCCTACCTTGACTTCCTCCACACCAACATGGGTCCTGTAAACCAGAAAGCATGACACACAGGCCTCAATCCATTGAGAAGTTCATTTGCAAGGTTAAGGGCATGCCCGGGAGACAGCTCTGTGCCTTTCTCCAAGATGATTTTGAGGGTTTCGATACTTGAAAGGGAAAATGCAGGCTGGAGGAGAAAGAGGGAGGTTTGGTTGCCTGACCGAACCCACGTGTTGCAGGAGGAAGGAACAGGCAGGACAATGGTGAATGATGCATTCGTCCTGGGCTCAGAAAGTCGGACTTTGCACAAGGCCAGGGGACGTAGAGCAGCTGCCGGTGGAGACACTGAGCCTTTGCTGGGCAGCTCCCTGCTCAGGAACACAAGGAAAGGCTGCTCCTCATGGGGCTCAGCTTCCGGCTTTAAGGTTTCCCTTGGCAGTGAATTGGAGTCCCCAGATTTTATTTTCCTTTCACAGCCCCAATGTTGCCCCAGAAACAACAGAGACTCCTAAGTTTCCCACACCCTTCAGAAGGCTTCGGGCAAATCGGGGTCTGGGAGATGGGACGAGCGTGGATGGAGCCCCTACTGTATGCCTCACGCTGTGACTGGTCTGGGAGATGGAACAAGTGTGGATGGAGCGCCTACTGTATGCCTCACGCTGTGGCTGGTCTGGGAGGTGGGACGAGCATGGATGGAGCACCTACTGTATGCCTCACGCTGTGGCTGGTCTGGGAGAGCCCCCCACGGTGGCGTCACATGCAGATCATCTGGGATGGAACAAGGGATGGAGCGCCATTGTATGCTCTACGCTTGGGGAAGTGAACTCGGGAGGTGGGGACGCAGCATGGATGGAGCACCTACTGTAGCGCCCACGCTGTGGGTTGGTCTGGGAGATGGGATGAGCTTGATGGAGCAATCTACTGTATGTCACCTGTGGCTGGTCTGTGAGATGGGACTGGTGATGGAAAGTGCCTAATGGTACTTCACCCAGTGGCTGGTCTGGGAGACGGGGCATAATGTGACAGAGAGCCTACTGTATGCCTCTTCACCTGTGGCTGGTCTGGGAGACAGGATGAGCGTGGATGGAGCACCTACTGTATGCCTCACGCTGTGGCTGCCACTTTCATGTTCTGCCTAATCTCAGCTTGCCGTGTGGTGTCCATTTCACAGATGACGAAACAGAAGCATGCAGAATTCAGTAACTTTTTTCAATGTCAAATAGGTGGCTAATGGGAGAAACAAGATATAAACCAGCTAAGTCTGATTCAAAACATAACCACATCTTCCAAATGGGAAAGCATGTGTTTACCTGAATGTACACTTTCAAGTTAATCTTTCACTCAACCAACACACATGTATTGGATTTCCTTACAGGCAGGATGCTAGACAAGGTGCAAAGATGACTCGTGCAGTTCTGCCCTGTAAGGATCCACAGTTACGGTAAGAAGCAAGAGAAATGGAACAGACGATGATGAGACAAAGCGGACAGCGGTGACAGCATCCCACCACACGGCCGCCCTGCTGGAGAATTCACGGGGAAGCCCAGGATGTGGCCGGCCCATTTGCAGACCAGGAACTCGCTGACCGATCAGCACATCAGGCGGGGTTGGCAACTGTGGCCTCACCTGAGGGTCCCCAGGGGCTGCTAAGGACCCAGATACTCAGGACACAGGCCAGACCCCGCACATCAGTCTCTGGAGGGGTGGATGTTTGAAGGTCCTGAGGTGGTTCTCTAAGTAGCCAGGCCTGCGGGGTGGTGAGGGTGAGCAGCAGGTGAGTTTGGGGTGATGGGGACAGGCAGTGGGTGGAAACCACTCCCCGGGGCGGGGAAGGCAGTGGGTGAAACCACTCCCGGGGGCAGGAGGAGCAGCTGGTGAGCCACTCCCGGGGGGCAGGGAGGAGCAGCTGGTGAGCCACTCCCAGGGCAGGGACAGGCAGTGGGTGAAACCACTCCCCGGGGGGCGGGAGGAGGAGCAGCTGGTGAGCCACTCCCCGGGGGGCAGGGACAGGCAGTGGGTGAAACCACTCCCGGGGGGCGGGAGGAGCAGTGGGTGGCTTCACTCGGGGGGCAGGGAGGGCAGCTGGTGAGCCACTCCCCGGGGGGCGGGGACGAGCAGTGGGTGAAACCACTCCCCGGGGGGCGGGGAGGAGCAGCTGGTGAGCCACTCCCCGGGGGGCGGGGACGAGCAGTGGGTGAAACCACTCCCCGGGGGGCGGGGACGAGCAGCTGGTGAGCCACTCCCCGGGGGGCGGGGACGAGCAGTGGGTGAAACCACTCCCCGGGGGGCGGGGACGAGCAGTGGGTGAAACCACTCCCCGGGGGGGTCTACGGTGGTTCCAGGCAGAGGCCTGCATTTGTCAGGCCTTGGAGGATGGCGCTGAGCGGGCAGAATTCCAGGAGGCTCTGGGGCAAACCCTAACCCTAACCCTAATCCTGGCCCTGGCAACACCTCATTGCAGCTCCTCTTCCTCCTGCAGCCCACAGTAGACTCCCCAGTACGAGCACCAGGAAGACGCCCTGTCCCAGAACCCACCCCAAGCGACAGGAGGGGCAGGCCCAGGCCCCAGACACCAGGGCACAGTGTGTCCCCTCCCACTCTCCCACGGCTGGTCTCCAGGGCACGGCACCTCTCCTCCCACCCCACCCCCACCCTCGTCTGCCTGCCAACCTCGTGGGCCTCCCTCACACACACAGGCGCCCCCACACATGTATGCACACGCTCACACACACAAGGACTGCACGCATGCCACCAAGCGCACATGCTCATACAGGGACTGGCCCGGGTCCAGGCTACGCAGTGTCATGGTGGCTGGAGTGGGTGGGGCTGAGGCATCGGCCATTGGTCCACATTTGCCACAGTATCCGCTGTGGGGCTCAGGCAGCCTTTCACAGCCAGCACGCCTCTGACCTTCCGGCCACAGTGAGGGTGGGCGTGCTGTGTGGCCCGGTGCTTGTACCCCCAAGTCTGCAGCAAGGCCTGGCTGGGGAGCCACCGAGATCACCTGCTCCGGTTCGGCCACCCTCTCTCGGTCCTGTCCTCCCCAGGGAAGCGCTTCCTAGTTTTCTGCCCAGGCCTGTGAATCCCCTTCTTCCTCTTTCCCTGCTTCTTTCTCCTTAGGGTTAAGACTTTGGAGAAACCAAAACAGAAAGACCTGCCTGAAGCTCCCACATGGACCCTCCGTGGAGCCCCAGATTCCACCGGCCCCCACTGGAACGGGAGAGGAAGTAGAGGAAGAAGGTACATGCAGCCTCCAGAACAAAGATCAGGAAGATTCCAGACTCACCTGATCGGGCCACCCAGGGCAGGCGATTAGCCCTGATTCCGCCTGGGGAGAGGGGCCTCCCCAACCATGCAGCCCCGGGCGGGGAAGGAGCTGCTGGGGCCTGCCGAAGGAATGGGTGTCCCCTGGAGCTCTGAGAGTCAAAAGTTGTGCCTTTTTTGCATGAAAGCGGGGCAGGAGGAATTGGGGGTGGCGGTGGCCGAGGCACTACTGAGTTCAAAAGAAGCTCGTTGAGGGCAGGGACCTTCGCCCCAGTTCTCACGGGAGGCACCCCCTGAACAAAAGCCGCAGGAGGACCAACGTGCCAAACTGCCAAACTCCGACCAGCACCTGCTGGGCCAGGGCCACGGGGACGCCTGGTCCTCTCCCATCCGTGCCCACCACAGCCCCCCGGCAGAGGACACGGGGGCCCCACAGGGGCCTGACTGCTGGGAATACAGCAGATGTGCGTCAACAAGACTCAGACAATGACGTGGGCTCTAAGCAGGTGGCAATTACATGACCCGTGAAGCTCGGTTCCTCCCGTTTGCTCAGAGCCTCCGCATCCCGGCCCCAGCTGGGTGGGAGTTGTTGCTGAGGCACCTGCGTGGGCATGTGGCCTGGCTCTCAGCTCTCAGGGATCGGTAGCGCTGCCAGCGAAACATGACCCTTCCTGTAACAAAACACCCGTGAAACGCAGCAGGGGATGAATAATGTAAGCCGGGCCATGAGGGAGCTGGAGGGGCTGCCCCGCCTATCTGTACAGGGTGTGGGGTGAGGGCAGGAAGGAGACAGGAGGTGCCCCCAGAGGCATGAATTTTTTAAAATCAAACACACTCCTTGCACTTTGCTAGAAGGCCTCTGTCACCGTGTGACCCGGGACCTCTCCGGGGCTCCCGGCAGGAAAGGCAGAATTACACCCCCCGGGGAAGCCTGAAGCCCACCCTCTCGCAGCCCTGAGCTGGGCAACGGCGGCTCGCCAGCGCCTCCCGTTCTAGGTGGCATTTCTCTTAAGTGCAGAGTGCAGCAGCCTCTGCATCACCCCGGGGAACGGAGAGAGCCACGCCCTTTGTGGCTGCCAACCAGACCCGCCAGACAGTTTGCCTGGGAGCACACAGTGCGTATTGGATGCTGACGGGCCGGGATGGCAGTGGGGCTCCTGGGACCCACGTGACAGGACTAGAGCTGAGGCTCAGCCCATCGCCCCCACAAGGCCAGCGGGAGAACGCCAGGTCCATCACTCTCCATGCTGTCGTCCTCAAACCCCAGCAGGACGCCTCACCCTTGGTAACATTCAGCCTTCAGCCCATTTGTCTTGGAAATAAAAAGGTTGAACTTGGAAGAACGTTTCATTACTGTAATTGGGGGATTGGGGTTTGGTTTTTCAAAAATCAAATCAAGCCTTCTTATCTCCATTTTAAATTGCCTAGATAGAAACCGAGAGTCAATCTCATATTTATTTGTAATTTCATGTTATCAGATTGAGGTTTTCTTTCAAAACTGCTCTTCCGTGGACTGGCATAACTCCTGTAATCTGTATGTTTCATTTGCAGCTGAGGCCCATTTATGTGTGTAAACACTCGCAGAGGGGATGGACCCCATTGTGGAAAAAACACGATGGGCCCCAGCCAGAGACCGCCCGCTTTTCCAGGACTCACTGTGGGGGAGCTCACGTTGAGGGAATTACACACTCAGCAAACCCACAGACTGCAGACAGGAATAAAGAAAGAACCACCACTCTGACCATATAATAAATAGTTGAGTAAAGGAATAAAATAAGAAGTGCTGAGCCTGCAGCCCGTGCTGGAGTTATCAGAACTGGCCCCAAATGTCCTGCAAGGCCATCTCTGGCACGGCCCCCCCTAGACACCAGCTGGCCCCGTAGGCACATCCACGCTGAAATCCACAGCCTCCCCTCATCCACGCTGAGTCCCAGGCCTCCCCTCATCCGCGCTGAGCTCCACGGCCTCCCCTCATCCGCGCTGAGCTCCGCGGCCTCTCCTCATCCGCGCTGGGCTCCGCAGCCTCTCCTCATCCACGCTGGGCTCCATGGCTTCCCCTGGGAAGCCCTGGCTTCCTTCCCTCGCCGGCCCTCATGGGAGGGGCCGCTGCAAGTCTGCCCTGCTTTTCTCCAGATCGTTTGAGTCTGGGGAACCCCCTCTCCCCAGCCACCCTGACAACTGGTTCTGGAGACTATGGGCTGGCGTCACAGCTTCCCCAGGCCTCACTACCCCATCCCATCCGAGGGGCTTCTGCCCAGAGTGTCCAGCTGCCCTGGGGCGCAAAGTCAGGGTGGCGAGAAGGCAGGGTCGTGGGGGCTGATGCAGCCCCATATCTCTAACCTCATGTTTGCCTGACATTTCGCAGAGGTGCCCCTGAATGAAATTTCAGCTGCTGCCCGTGACAGCTCTGCCTTTGTAAGTGACAACTCGTCACAATTTTGAAATAGCCTCACAAAATCACGTTTTTTTGTAATTATGAAGCTTTTTCCTCAAATTCCCAAAGCATAAACTGCATGAATGTGCTATAGAAGTATTACTAGAGAAAGCAGATGGTTAGAATAAATAGGCAAATAATTCTAATGCTGCCAAGAAAAACATTTTCTAAATTCTGAGCGGTCTTACAGCCTAAGAATTAACTCTGAAAAATTGGATGGGCAGTTAAAATGTGGAGGGAAAGGAAGATTAAATTGAGCCCATTAATTAGCTCATGCTGGTTAACTTTACAATGTTGGCAAAAATAAAGCTTTAAAATAACACATTATAAGAAAATGCCAGCCAGACGCAGTGGCTCCCCATGCCTGTAATCCCTGCACTTTGGGAGGCTGAGGTGGGTGAATCATTTGAGGTCAGGAGTTCAAGACCAGCCTAACCAACATGGTGAAACCCCGTCTCTACTAATACTATAAAAATTAGCCAGGCATGGTGGCGTATGCCTGTAGTCCCAGCTACTTGGGAGGCTGAGACAGGAAAATCACTTGAATCCAGGAAGCGGGGGTTGCAGTGAGCTGAGATTGTGCAACAACACTCCAAGCTGGGTGACAGAGCGAGACTCCATCTCAAAAAAAAAAGAAAGAAAGAAAAGAAAATGCCAGTGTAACAGTATAGTCATTAGAGAAAAATGTCAACTATGTGGGGAATGTTAATATTATCTTTCAAAGAATGACTTATTTTAATGTATATGATTGTCTCTAGACTATGGAAATGGTCGTTTTTTGTTGCTTTTAAAAGAAAAAGATTTTTGAAATGGGAAAAAAAGAAATAGCCACAATGAAAAGTTATAATCAGCTTCCATTATCAGCAGATATTGTAATCCCAAGTAGGATAAATTCAAGTAGATCCACACCTAGGCACACTGTAGTCAAACTGTTGAAGGCTGAAGATGGAGAAAAAAATCTTGAAAATAGCAAGAGAAACCCACTCATCTAGCTGAGGAGCAGCAGCATGACTGATGGCCAACTTCCCTTCAGAAATGAAAGACGCCGGAGGCAGCAGAACCACAGGTTCAGTGCTGAGATCTCTCAGAGCTGTCAAGTAAACATTCAATACCCACCTAAACCATCCTTCAGAAACAAAGGGCACTGGAGGCAGGGGAACCACAGGTTCAGTGCCTCAGTGTCTCAGAGCTGTTACATAAGGATCCACTACCCAGCTAAACTATCCTTCAGAAACAAAGGGCACTGGAGGCAGGGGAACCACAGGTTCAGTGCCTCAGTGTCTCAGAGCTGTTATGTAAGAATCCAGTACCCAGCTAAACTATCCTTCAGAAACAAAGGGCACTGGAGGCAGGGGAACCACAGGTTCAGTGCCTCAGTGTCTCAGAGCTGTTACGTAAGAATCCAGTACCCAGCTAAACTATCCTTCAGAAACAAAGGGCACTGGAGGAAGGGGAACCACAGGTTCAGTGCCTCAGTGTCTCAGAGCTGTTACATAAGGATCCAGTACCCAGCTAAACTATCCTTCAGAAATGAAGGCAAATGAAGAAATTCCAAAATAGACAAAAACTGAGAGGAGATATTTCCAGTAGACAAGAACATAAAACAAGAAATACTAAAGGGAAATCCCCCAGGCTAGAGTCCTGCGGCTGGGATGAAATGAGCAGGTGCCCAGGGAGGGACACGAAGGGTGCTCACACAGGGGCTCAGGAGGCACAGGGCTGGCATTCTCAGGACCCAGGACTGGGGCCCTCCTGCTCAGCTTGCCCTGGACCCACTGGAGGGCAACTGGGATCCACAGGGAGAAATAAAAGACACTGGAAATGGTGAACATATGGTTGAACACACAGACATGTAGATGGAATTGTTTCTCTTTTCTTCTCTTAATTTACCTACAAGACAGAAGATTTTATCCAGGCAGCAGCTTCGTGGGCTTGGGATGCATTTCAAGGCCCATCAGAAAATTGTATTGTTTTTTGTCATTACAGGAATACTGCTAGGACGAATATGAACACAGGGCTGCGAAGTGTCCACATAGCCCTAGTTCTTCAGAGGCCTCCACGTCCCTTGCCCTAGGGAGTCTCATTGACCCCTGACACCTCCTTGTCTTATCCTGGGCCCTCTTTATCTGACAACTTGTACAAGGTCTTGCACATGGTTGAACAGGTTTGTGGGGAAGAATGGAAATGTTATAAATCTGATTTACAAGAAACGTCAGGTCATTCAAGGCCGAAGCCCTTGAGGAAATATTTACCCCCTCCATCGGGCAGGTGTGGACGGAGTGCCCAGCACCACCACAGCACAGAGGGGATGGGAGAGGGGCCTGCAGCTCCAGCCGTTTCTCCTCCAGGGGAGGAGACCAGAGGCAGAGGGAAAGCAGGCAGCTCCTGCAGGACAGCCCTGAGCCAGCGTGAGTGGTGGGGGAAGCTCCCGGTGCTCACTGCAACAAGGAGGATGCGTGAGCAAGTGCAGACACCGGGGACTCAGCCCTGACCGGCAACGTTGGCATCTGCCAGCCATATGGAGAGGAAAATGAAGGCATGTCACATGCATGTATGTGTGTAGAGGTGTGTGCATGTGTGCACCTGTAATTCTGAAGGAAAGAATGTGACTTGGAAATCATGTCACAATCCAGGGAGTCCACTCTTCCTTATTAACTTTTATTTTTACCCTTTTTTATTTGAATACAAATTGCAGGTTTTGTTTTTTACAAAAGGAAAGGTCATGTGGCATTGCTCCTCAGCCCCCTGGCGGCCCGCGGCTCCCCTGGCTGCAGCGTCACTAAGGCAGTGCGGTGGGCTGGCCCGGAGCTGCAGGTGCACACGCTCGCCCAGGAGGTTGACAATGGGATGTTTCTTGCCATGTTTTTGGCCCCAGCATGAGCCGATCGCATCAGCCGCCTCCGCGGATGAGACAAAGCCACCTTGCAGGGATTCCCACGGGCTTCTAGGCGCACTGGCCGTGGCCCACGTTAAGAGGATTGAAGCTGAGGGCTTCTCTGCAGAGGGTGCGCCTATGCCTGCCTCACTGCAGCCAGATGCCCAGATGCCTGGGCCTCTTGATGTGCGGCCCCACCCTTTGCTGACCCCCAGGGAGATTACAAACCCAGACCGGCCAGATGGCTGCCTGGGCAGCAGAGTGGGGCGTTGCTGGTCCAGGCAGCACCAAGAGAGAGCCCAGGGAGGGCAGCAGGGGGTCGACCCCGCTGAGGAGAGTATTTGCCCAGATTCAGGACCTGAAACCCCAAGACTGCCCACAACAGAGGGCCCAGATGAAGAGTCCACAGAGACATCTGCACGGAGGGCACCGAGTCATGTGCAGCAGCACCAGGCAGGCAAGAATGGCCCTGGATGCCTTCCTTCATCCCATCTCAGCCCTGCAGAGCCAGAAACCGAGGCTGGCCACGGGGAGCAGGGTGGCTCTGCAGGCAGGTGGGCATAAGACACGGGCATTGCCTCCGTCAGACGCTGCAGCCCTGTGGGTAAGGAGGCCCTGAAGCTCATCACATGTGGAGCTGTGACCGTCACGGGGCCACACGCACTGAGCCCCTGAGGGGAGGCTGCTGCTGCCTGGGTGGGGGCCACAGTTTCTGAGCTCCGGAACTGAGCGGGGCCCCCTGGGGTGTCTCTGTGGGATCACTGACTCAGCATTTGTGATGTATTTTCTCCATGGGACACGAAGCTTTAGAAGTTTTTAAAAATAAAGTGACAATAGGCGGGGTGCGGTGGCTCACGCCTGTAATCCCAACACTTTGGGAGGCCAAGGCCAGTGGATCATGAGGTCAGGAGATCAAGACCATCCTGGCTAACACGGTAAAACCCCGTCTCTACTAAAACATACAAAAAACTAGCCGGGCGTGGTGGCGGGTGCCTGTAGTCCTGGCTACTTGGGAGGCTGAGGCAGGAGAATGG